GAAAACCATTTTTAAAAAGGTCTCTATAGCACAGAAGTTAGCAACATCATAAGTACTATTTCACTCTTAAAAAATTAAGATCCTGTTTCACGACCAGCATACAGATATGGTGCTTAATCTGGATGTCCCTCTTAGGTGTTTAGTTCAACATTTGTTTGATACACTGTACTTTTAAGTATGTAGTCTCATCTATTTCATTTTTTTTCTATTTCCAGTCATACTTTTTTCTATTTCCAATCTTCAGTTTATTCCTTGGCTAACAAAAGCAGTTCAAGAAGAAACAAAATACTTTGGTTGTTCTGAAAAGACAGATTTGGGTTAAACATGCATATAAACATGCATCTGCAGATTCCTTAGAAAAGTGATTAAGGAACAACCTTTATTCATAGTATCTTGGATGGTCATTGTATATCATGATGTTGTCTTAGCCACTTCCACATTATTTAGATTTCTGGAGACACAACTTTGTATGTGCTACACTGAAACAAAAAAAAAAAAAAAAAAAAAAAAAAAGTGAGCAGGAGAAAGATAAAATTATTACATGTCTTAGAAATACCACATAAATTTCCCTCTCTGAATTGAATGAAAGGAAAAGAATATGAAAGAAATAAGTAACCCTACCACATGTTATAAAGAAAATTAGAAACCAATAATGGCAATAATGTTTTTGAAATAGATACTTGCTTTTCTGATAGTTTTAGCAAATACAGAAGTACTGAGTACTGGCATGTCCAATGACTATACATACATATATATATATATATATATATGTATATATATGCAACCATTTAAATTAGGGTAACTTTGAAGGGTTTTTAAATAACTTTGTAATTACTTTTTTTTCTGTCAGATTTCTAATAACATTGCTTTTATGGTTCCTTTTTCTTTTTTTCTGATGATAGAAGGTCTAATAGAGATTTGGTGCTAACTGGTTTCAGTTACACTATTGATTAGGGTTAGTACAGATCGATAACAACACTGAATTGATAAATACCAAGTAAGAGAGATTAGTTTGCACACCTTTCCAAAGATTACATTTCACAAAGTAGAATATAGGAGAAGGATGTATTTGGAGAGAACCAAAGGAAAACTGGGGCCAGCGGAAAGGAGGCAGTCAGGAGAAGGCAGGGTATGTAAACCATTCTTGTGAGTAAGGCAGAAGGTTATGGACTATGTTCTCTTCTTGGCTCTCACATGAAGATCTTGAGCAAGTCACTTGTCTGCCATACACATTTCCTCAAAATATAGCTTAATTCATGTTTGTTATGTTCTTGGGATTAATGAATAGAAGACAGACAGCAGCAATGGAACTTGTTGTGATTATTTTTAAAAAAATTACTCTGAGCCTTCACCAAATCCACCATTTTTCTATATTCTGCAAAGGAGATGTGTACAGATTGAGATGTTTGTTAGATCTTTACTGTGATGTGTTCCATCTATGCTAGTAATATCTATGCTGTCTTTGCTACTGTCTATTGAAAAATATGAGAGTGCTCGTTTTATATTTATATCTATATTTCTAATAAGAATTGTAGGGATGCCATATTTGGAGTGTGATAAAATAATGCCTAAATATCCTGAATTTGCAGATCTTATCCATGATAATGAAGGTTTGTTGCTGACTTCTGTATTGTGTATCTGAAATGACAGATTATTAAATGACTGAAATGACTAAATTATGCACCTGTTTCTTAGAATATGATAGAAAAATTAGGTGAATGACTTAAAAATTGGTTTATTGTTGCATATTATTTACATACACCAAAAAAGACAGTGCATTCATTCTGTCATTTCAGAATAAGTAGGAAGTTCTTTTCTGCTTATCTCTTTGCCTTATTAGGGAATTACCTTTGTTGTCCTAACATTTCAACTCCCAGAAGATACATGTTCTCATAATTTTGATGGAGTTAGTCGGGTTGGGGTTTAGGGGTTATTTTTGGTTGTAAAACGTCTAGCGTCTAAGTTATGAATCCAAGCAGCACATTCCATTTAAACGTATTTTCAATTTATTGTTTTTACTGTTTAGCATATGCAAAAGACCATTTAATTATCATCTATTTGGATATATAATGCTGAATGCACATTTTCAAATATGTGATTTCACACATATTTGAGTCCATTACATGTTTTCTGTTTTATCCTTAGCATTACACAAACTAAAACAATACAGAAAAGAACATAAACCAGTTAATTTGTAACAGACGGAATGCAAATACCTTCTGACAAACACAGAGTTACCATGTTGTGGTTGTACAATCTTTCACCCTTCCATATTTCTATGTGACAACTGAAGGGTATTTAAAACTTTCCTGGATAAAAGTCATTCACAGGAGAAAAAGTAAACCTTTATATTTTATAAATGGTTCTTAGCACTTGCATTACAGCTTATCAGGGAAAAGATGGTTGTTCCTCGTACTATGAAAGCTGCTTGCAATTTCTTTTGATTTTGAATGATAAAAGGATGATATTATGAACACATTATCTTGGTTTTGCTGATTTTAGAATGATAGAATGGTTTGGGTTGGAAGGGACCTTGAAGAACATCTAGTTCCAACACCTTCCACTAGCCCAGGTTGCTCAAAGCCCCATCCAACCTGGCCTTGAACACTGCCAGGGAGGGGGCAGCCACAATCTCTCTGGGCAACCTGTGCCAGTGTCTCACCACCCTCACTGTAAAGATTTTCTTCCTTATATCTAATCTAAATCTACCCTCTCTCGGTTTAAAACCATTATGCCTTGTAATCATCACTACACTCCCAGATAAAGAGTCCCTCCCCATCTCTCCTGTAGCCCCCTTTAAGCCCTGGAAGGCCACTATAAGGTCTCCCTGGAGCCTTCTCTTCTCCAGGCTGAAAAACCCCAACTCTTTCAGCCTGTTCTCATAAGGGAGGTGCTCCTGCACCCTGACGATCTTTGTGGCCTCCTCTGGACCCACTCGAGCAGGTCTGTGTCTTTCTTATACTGGGGGCCCCAGAGCTGGACACAGTGCTGCAGGTGGGGTCTTATGAGAGCAGAGTAGAGGGGGAGAATCACCTCCCTTGACTTGCATTTGATGCAGCCCAGAATATGGTTGGCTTTCTGGGCTGCAAGCACACATTGCCAGCTCATACTTAGTTTTTCATCCACCAAGTCCTTCTCCACAGGGCCGCTCTCAATCCACTCATCGCCTGACCTGTATCTATGTCTGGGATTGCCCAAAGATGTAAAATTTTTTCAGATAAACTACCTGGGGAGGTACTCAGCTGACAGTGCTAATATGAGGAGAACAAAGACCACTGATTTCTTGTGCTAGCTATTTCTTTTAAACATCCACAAAACATGCAAGATGGATTTAATTCAACTGACTGTTTTTACTGAACATCTTGATTTAGTGTAGAAGTGAGGAACAGCATTTATACATTTATTTAAAAAATTATAAAAGAGTAATTAATGATCCTTGCCATATTTTGCTTCACTTCTGTGCAAACTCTCCCAAGAGCAGCAAATCTGAATAAGATTTGTGTGAAGAACCAGGTCTTTACTGGCCATGTTAAGGTCTATGATATTTCCCAGTTTTCAGTGTTGGATATATCCTGCATGCCTAAGAAAGACCTTTTTCTCCTCCTTTGGTGCTTATATGACTTCCATTTGTATACTTTGAGGGTCTTCTATTTAGTATGTTTATTCTTGCAAAATCATTCTATAGGCTTCTTGAGTAACACAAATCTCTGACTTGACGCTGTATATAGTTCTTGTTTAACTGAACAACAGCCATACATTTTTGCCATCTAGCCTTTGTTTAAAGACTTCAAGTGATCGAGAATCTACTTGTAAACCTCAATACATTGTTTAAATGGTTAATAAATCCGAGTTTAAAATGCCATGTCTTTTTTCCACTTCCTAAATTCAGAGTCCACCCACTGAGTAACGATTGGTTAAGAGTTAAGGGTCACAATATGAATGGGTATCTCCCTCATTGCAGAAGTCATTATCCATACTAAGATTCCCAGTAAAAATTAATTGCTGAATAATTTTGAGGTTTTGAATGATTCTTAGTGTAGGCTACTCATGAGAAATTTATTGCAATTATTAAATATTTGAAATTTAGAATAGGATGTTAATTATTTGATGTAATAAGTAAAGAGAAATACTGCCAAGTAAACAGATACCAAATAATACACCAGAAATTATTCAGAGGATGTGTGCAAACAGTATTAGTCTTCAGAAGGAAGTTGATGGTGTGAATATTGTGGAATGCAAAACTCCTTTTACTGCTTTTGTTCAATATTTCCTTAAGAGTTCACTTTTCCCAGAAGCATTCCTTTAAGCATATTCAGTTATTTAACTTTTTGGGAAGAACCAACATAGAAGGAGGGCAAACACTCAAAACAAATTGCATTTTACACATTCTTTGATATATTCATCTGGCTCTAAAAACCTTATATAGAAAGTGATTTTGTCTAACCAAGTCACTGAGATTATGTGCTTCTGAGTGCCATCCAATTTAGCTAAAAAATACTGACTTACATCAAACAAGATTCTTTGTCCTTTTTTTTTTTTTCTTGTTACCTCTGCCTTTCTCTGTACTATCTTTGCCACTTTTTTTTAGCAGATTTTTTTTTTTTTGGTCACCTCTAACATGTAACTTCTAGTCTGAGTGATTATGTTTTATTTCTAAATCAGTTGAGTCAATTATGGCTCTCTATATACTTGTGAATACTAAGAGATTTAGGCTCAGATTCTGGAAAGCACTGGAGTATATGGCTGAATATGATGCTGAGAGCAATATTCTGGATCAGAGCAGTGAAACGGAATGAATGATCCCTTGTTGGTTTTGGTCTATTTTTATTTCAGAAGTGTTGTGTTAGGCACAGCATTACCATCTTCTCCTTGTTATGTTGCAATTTTGTCTTGATAACTGCAACTTCTCAGTAACATTCCTGCATTCTTGACCAGTGAATCATAGCAGATGTAAGCCTCAAATCCACAGAATTTAATAGCAAAAACAATCGTAGCCTGGGAGGGGCTCTGGAATTCTTTACATCAATTTAAGAAGATTTAACAACTTTGAGTTCTCTCCAGAGGGTAAAGGTAAACGTTTTAGGTACCTGTGAGGGAAGAAGGAAGAATCTGGGGTAATTGCTGTAGTTATGGTTTAAAAGTAATATTGTTTTTGAAGGCCATATAACTGGTGCAATGTTGCTAAGAATGTATTCATGTTTTAGCAGGAACTAGCTATTTTGCTATGATATCTAGTTAGTTAGTAAAACTCATATTCAGTTCTATAGTTTCTATAGTTATAATAATGTATAGCTGTATGAGCAAGGCTGCTTTTTAAACCTAAAAGTAGATCAAATCAAGAATTATTGTCCGTTTTTCAGATGAGGAAAATGGAGTAATTTTTGTAACACTACCTAATTAAAACAAAGCCAAATTTGTGCCAGAGTTTAATCATTAAAACCACTTTGAATTTTAAGAATCTTTGAATAGTAAATGAGTAATCTCATATGGATAAAATTTCAATGTTTCACAACAGTTGCCCTTAAACTTCAATTTATTAAAATAGAAAGTGGTTTTTTTTTTCCAGCTAACTGTTATGGGCTTGTGTTTTCAACTTGAAAATATTATACTGTTTTTCTCACTCTGTCATGACTGTGTGATGCATGTCTGTTGTCTGAGATTAAGATTTTCTTTTTGTTAAATCAACACAGGTGTTATAACAAAAGTCTTGGAAGTCTCTCAGGATTTACTAACTCTTTGGATTCGCTAGCATCAACAACACAAAAATAGTTGTTAAATTATGCGTTTTCATTTGTGACATGAATTAAGATTTGTGATTTGTTTGCATTTTTTTGGAGTGAATGTTTTTATTGCATTGTGTGTGAATGTTTATCATGGCTGTATTCACTCTCTGTATTTTTAATTATTTTACTTTCCACATACATTTCTGGATAATGCATTTTAAATAGCTATATAACAACCAGATAAATGAGTGGAGAAATTAGTTTAAGAAATTGACTTTCAAAGCATTCTTCCTTGAGCAAAATTTTAAGCTTCCCTTGAACAGAACTTGATCTTTACGTTACCAAAGAGCATGGATGTGCACTTTCAGAGAAGTTACTAATAAAACCTTTTCTGAATTTTTTAATAGAAATGTCTAAAACTAAGTAAACAGTTACCCACAATAATTCCAAAACTGAACCTGTTGATTCAGTTAGTGTATGCAAAGCACTTTGAACATATATGGGGCTTGAGCCTATTTACCCCTTTTCTTATTGCTGTAGGGTTGACCACTCAGTGAATTTCATGTCAGTGAAGTTGTGGGATCAGATAAACTACGTGAGTTTATACCTGTGGAGAAATTGGCTCAAAGGCCCAAGGTACTGCCCCTTCCAGGATCAGCACTGCTCACTGTCCCCTACCTCATCTAGGTCTCTCTGCTGGGCAGTGAAAGAAGAAGAGAAACACTATTAGGTCAGCTATTTCCTTTCAGAGCATGAGTTTTCATGTCTCTTCCTAGTCTTCCTGACTTTCTCCTTTTTTTGGGAGGACAACAGTACAAAGATTTTGGTCCTCCCAACCCTTGTTCCTACTTCAGATCCACTCTTTGTTTTTTTCCTGTGTTCTCTCTGTTTCAATGTCTTCCCTGTTTCTGACTGACAGGTCTGCCAAATGGAGCTCTCAGTTCCTCCTTCTTTATACTCTTAATTTTCTTACAATCATAGTGAGCTCATATTGTGATTGACTACAGGATCAATAATCCATTTTGGGTTTACTGTCCAACTTTCTTTCTTAAAAACTAAACTCCAGGATTAAAATATTTTGAGAAATGTATTTAAATCATCACATTTTATTTATGAGACTATTCCTATATTTCGGTATGTTTTTTGAACATATCTTAGTTGATAAAGCTGATACATGCAAAGTTGTCTTCCAGGTGCAGCCTTTATGAAGCTCTCCACAACAGGAACATGCTTTAGAAAGAGGCACCCTTTAAATAGAAAGGTGACTTCATCTGAAGATGACAAACCAAACCAACTGCACACATTACACTCCTCAGCTCTTCACTCCTTTTGTGCAGCTTGCTAGTAGTAGCTCACACAAGGGACATGTTCTGCCTTGATTGTGCCTGATAGTCTTTTTTTTTTTTTTTTTAGCTAACATAAATTTCTCTGAATAGTATGCAAGATTTACTTGATAGCCTTTTTTAAAAAAAATAAGAATACTGTAGTTGTAAAGCTGTGTAACCCATTTAAGACTGATTACTGTATTCAGGCATTCATAGTCGGTGAAATCCTGATAGAACAGTTTGAATATTAGGACTAATGTGAGGGAGAACAATGTACTTTTATAATGAAAATAACAGAGAATTAAGCAGAACAGTTAAATATGAATCTTCCAGTAAAAAAATATAGTCCCTTCTTCCCTTGATAACATATTTAAGATATGCATGGATTTGTAACAGCAGTTACCAGAGATGGATCATTTGAGGGTTGTCCAGATAGCTAACATACTCTTTGGTCACTCCTCTCACAGAAAGTGTCATTGCAACAGATGGCAACAGCTGCTTTCAAAACAGTGGTTGCTGGAATAGCCATATTACTACTGTCATAAGGTGAAAATGCTTGTTTTATCATGGCAGGAACCTCTGAAATCTAAATTAATAACAGAATTCAATGCCAGGCAATTCTTGCAGATTCTCCCCTGCCTTTTTTGTAAGCCTGAAATTCATAGGATTCACTAATTCAAACAGTAGCAGAACTTGTTACATTGAATTTTGGAAAAGTTTCTAATTCAAATGATACAACATTTATTTGGTTAGCCTGAAGAACAACTGACAACTTAAAATTCAGAAACTTTATGGCATAGAAATATCTTAGCCTAAGATTTTCAGTTCATACTTTCTACTCAGGAAGCATTTTATAGGTAATTTTTAATGGATTCCTTTGGAATTCTTAGAGATAGATATCAGCTTTGTATAGTGTTTTGCAGCTTAATGGCAGATGTTGCATATGTCCAAAATGCTTGAAAAAACTCTCTGAGCTGTCTGTAACATGAGTCAATGGGTACCAAGTACCCTCAACACCATGTGTCTGCATCAGTCCAGCGCAAGAAGTGGTATAGTGAGCTTTATACAGATGTACTTGGGCCTCACAACTCTATGCTTTCAAATGTGATGCTTTCAAACCAGCAAAACTCAGAACTATTTTTTTTTTTAATGTTACTTTCTTAAATAAGGTAACTGTAATTTAAAAACACATCCTGAGTATTTTATAGATAGGTGTTGAAAACCTGAAATTTGCCTGGGCTTTAATTTGTACTCTTGCATAAGTTTTTCAGAGATCGGTGAAAATCGTAAGTTGGACTTGTCCAATTTTAAAGAACTTAAAAATATACTTCACATAAGCACTTATCTTTGTACAGTAGTTTGTACAGTCTGCCAAAGTTCCACTGGTATATTATATTAATTCCTGTAGAAATTTGAGTGGAAATTTCCATAAAGTTGGTGTTTCAATAAGACATGCTGACATGGAATCATTAATCTCTATTATAGGTTTTATGCTTTGTCTAATCACAAATGTTTTAACATGTAGTTAGATGATTTAATTTAATAAGTAGAAAAATCAGAGTGGACACATACTTTGGTTCAAACATGCATTAGCATATTTTAAATGAAAATATTTTAAGTTAAAAAAAAATAAATAGTCCTTAATAGCTCACAGCAGTTTAACTAGTCACTTTAGAATTGGTTCATGTATAATCTATGTAAATATTTTTGTAATTGGAGGCCTTGGTTTCTCATCTGTGAGCTGAAAAGCATACATCCACCTTACAGAAAATAGTGGAGTTACATCAGCTAATGTTTGCAAGGCAATGAGATACAGTGGTGATTGTTTTGGCATTTAAATAATTTTCATATTAAATAATAGGATTTAAAATGCTATGGGTCATACAGTACGAAATATGCTTAGCTGTTGAAAGTTGTCATTCTTGTCACCATTAGAACAAAAGCTGATAGCTATTATACATTTTTCCTAAAAATTACTCTATAACAGTAAAATTATCACCATCCTCTCCTGGCACACAAAAGTCGCACAAATCCTTAGTTCAAGGACAACTAGCCCAATTCAGATTTTAATTACTTGAATATAACAGAGAACTGGCTCCCAACTTTAAAAGACAAACATGGAACATTGCCCTGCTTTTCAGAGCATTTTAAAATGCTATTTTGCTCTTGTCTTCTTTCACAATAAAATGTGTGGGTTTGAATCTTGAATAGCTGTCATAAAATACATAGAGAGCTCTGATACAAAGTGGCCTAAAAGGATAAATTCGGGTTTTACTGGGTTTTGGAGTTGTTCTTGATCAGACTATTTTAGACATTTGTAGTGATGCCTAAATCTGCGTTATATTTACAGTTTGTAAGAAAATAATTATAGGTTAAATAGATTATTTCTAATAATAAAAAATGTATTCAAATAAATATTTTCAAATATTTAGTTTTGATGTTTAAGTTAACTAGAATTTAATTTGTTCCTCTACTTCACAGCTTCTAAAGAATGAAGATTTTGATAATGATTGCTTTTGTCCTTGCAGCTGGCTTGATGGATGCTATTGGCAGCTCTGTAAGTTCTAGTAATTAAATTTTCCTGTAGAGTTTCTTCTAAATATTTCATACCTTGTTCTCCATAGTGCTTACAATGTATCTCAGCTAAACAGGATGGCAGAACCTTTGATGAAAAAGATCAGAATTCAGAACAAAACTGAAGGACAGGGGAAATAACCTCAAATGATGTTCAGTGGGGACAAGTTTCCAATGAGGAAAGAAGTAACAAATGCATGAATATACAATGGAAGGTAAATGACTGGGCAATAGCACCGAAGAAGTTCATCCAGTCAGTTTGTTACTGGATCCGTCATGAAATAGGAGGCGATAGAATATCTTAGATAAAAAAGGTATCATATGATGCATTAACAGGCACATTTACAAAAGGCACAAGACAGTTATACTACCATTCAGGGATAATGCTCACTCAGAATAAGACCATTAGTTTTGAGCAGTATACTTACGGAAAGGCAAAATGCAGGAACTCCTGAAGTGGTAGCTGCAGCAGTAGTATTTCTGGTCACTGACACTCTGAAGAATGTTTCTCTCCTTTTCTACCTTGTCCACTTGTCATACAGCCTTTTCTTAAGTAAGATCCACAGCTTCATATTCTTACGTGTTCCCATGTTACTATGTTATAATTCACACTCAGAAGCAATGATCAAAGCTCCTTCATTTCTAGCTCTCAAAACCTTCTGTTATGTATTCTGCCTCTTCAACAAAACCCCTAATATACACACATACATACACACACAGTCTTACTCTGATGCTTAAAATACTTCCGCTCACCAGTCCTGTACTGCCCGTCACGGCTAGTTTGATAATCAAGTCCTAACTAGCAGGAACCTGGGAGATTGAATTGTTGATTCATAATTGCTTAGGTGGAAGTGGTTGCTCAATTTACAACTAGGTGAGCATCATTGTTTGTGGCATATATTATCTTACGCCTTTTGTTCAGATAAGTAGCTCTATAGGGGCAGAATAGGAAGTAGCTGCCTCTGTAATCACTTCTGCTCAGTGGAGAAAAATATTACTAATTTTTATAGAAGCCTACTGAGTAAAAGGCATTACAATGAAATGTGTTTGATTTCTTTTGATTTTTCACTTGGAATATTAGGGGTTTTGGCTGACCCTGTGAATAAAATCTTGGAACATCCTGAAATCTCTCATTTTTCACATTTTAATCTCATTAAAACACTAATCTCATTGGAGATTTTTTTTCAGCTTATGTAAATTCTAAAAATATAGGAAATAACACCTCAAGTAAAAATTTTGTATTTTTATAGTTTGCATACCGTATTCTGAATGTAATTTATGGCATCAGTTTTAATGGAAGGTCACTAGCTGCTAAAAATTCACACAATAATGAAATAAATATTGTGAGTGCACATTAATTGCAGTAGCTGGTTAAATATGGGACTGCCTGTCCAAGAGCAGAGCTGTCAGCAGTTGTTAGGTAATTGCTTCTCAATGGGTAGTACAACAGTTGCTTCACTGAAACAGACAGAACAGGTTATGTTCTGGAGACAGGCACAATCAAATTCATATTTTTTTGAATGTTTCAACATTGTAATAGTTTAACTTCGGTCCATAGATAACAGAAGGAATATATTATAGCTGCTGACTCTTATAACCATAGGTTACATTTTATTTCTGTATTACTCCAGCTATGCACTGGTTTAACTCTGATGATTTTAAAAGAGTTATCCTGTGAAAAAAGTGTAGCAGTACGTTAGAAGAACAGTCTGGTAACCTGGATATCTAAAAGCCACATTGATCCACCTTGAAGTTACACAGCTAACTTGTGATTGTCCCGTGGGAAAAAGAGGTGTGGAATTCCAAATACGAGAATTGCGGTTTTGCTGTGCAGCAACAAAATGTAACGGGATTTGTCTGGAGTTGACAGAAAGAGATGTCAATGAGGAGGCTGGAGTCAGGGAGAGAAAGCAGTGTATCAGATACCCATAGTTTTCACCTGTGTGTTACTTTCAAAACTCTATGTTTGCTCAGTCATTTATTTCTTATGGTGTAGTTATTCAGTATGGCTGGTGATTTCTTGTTTGTTACTTACTATTTATCAACATTGTGAGCTTAAATCCTTTTCATCAGGAAATTGCTATGTGTAATGTAGATATATTACTGTTCACCCCATAAGAGTGAATTGTCTATAAATAAGATGACAGTCAGGTCAATGTTAGTTTTTAATTTGCATGAATTAATTCACAGGTTTTAAGTGAACAAAAAGAAAAGATAAATTTAAAATGCAAAGGTAAGGATAATATTTGGAGATGTAGCCTGTTGCAGACTTGTGTTTGATTCAAAGGACAGGACCTTTTATGGTGGTATATGAAGTAGTGTCAAACTTAGATATCAAGATTTTCTAAGGTATGATAATTTTTGAAAAGTGCTGTACTTTTACTACATAATTTAATCACAGTAGGAGAATGGCTGTTCGCAGTATGAATAGGTGAAGTGATAGATGCATTTTCACTACACCTGAAGTGTAGTGAAGTGTATGCACTTAGATGCCTGTAGCTGCCTCTCCTCAAAAGTACAGGCTTGTGCTCTCCCCAGAACTGCAAGTAGCTCTTAGTGGCTCAGACCTTGCCATGTGTTAAAGAGAGTACTAGCCTGCAGTCTTGCCTGTGAAATTACAAGGGCCTGATGACAGTGGCCATCATTTTCAGGGCCACCCAGGTCTTTCCTATTGTATTTTACCATGTTCTCCAAGGCCGAGAGTACTGAGTTAAGGCTGATAGAGGCTAACCTTCTCAATAAACAGACACTGCAGTAAAACTGGTGGCATGGTGGCTTCTTTATCACTCTTAATATGTTTAGGATTAATATTTGCTCTGACTGTTAACGTAGTTAGCATTAGTTTGACACGGTGAGCCTGGAAATATTTTTTTTATTATTTATTCACTCTTTCTCAGTCCACCTATGCAGCTCTCCAGTTCTCCATAATTTTCTGTATGCACTTGAGACTAGTCTGAGGATTTACAGAGCCCTGTCAAGGAAGGGTCTTTTGAATTTCCCAATTCAACTCAGCTTTTGTAAAGGGTTTATATAAAGCTGCAGATACAAGTTGAGACAACCACCCTGGAGAGACTGCATAATATTGCATCCTTTGTAATATGCAACATGTCACACATTAACCAGTGCTTATGGTCAAATAACATCCCTCTAAGCCACTGTAGCAAGTTTGTCTCTGTATGTGCAGAGATTTTAAGTATTTTTTTCTCGTTTCATGATAGAAGAAAATGAGGATATGCTAAGGATCTTGTATAGCTATCAACAACTGAAAAAGATTTTCAAGGGAGGATTCTTAAATAAGATAGGACTGTAGGGATATTAAGTCATTGGCTGCTTTGTTTGTTCTAAAAACGTTAGTTTGGTAAACGTGCCTCTTTACAGCTCCTCCTTGTGGTCAAGTATCTCAATGGTTTCTCAGGACCTAGTAGCAATCAGACAGTTGAAGTCTGCAGGCACACCTGCTGTCAAAGCAGCCTGACATGGGCAGCCCAAACCCAGAGAGGCAGTGGAACCTTCTCTCGAACAGGCCACTGACAAACTGCCTAGTCCTGCCACGTGTATATTCCCCATTCTTTTATTCCACCATGTATATTAGATTGCAGTTAAGTATGAATTAAAGCAAGCATCTGATGCACTTCAGAAATACTTAAAGCAGAGGCCTATGTTCAGGAATTGTTCTACAAAGTCTGATCATCAGATTTTCCAGTGTGACTAAATATTGCAGACAAATGGAACATGATGGCTAGGAACCATTTTACTGAACTCATGGACACAGATTCTTTTATCTTCAGATACTTCTCTTGAACTGTCTCTAGTTCATTTGTCTATTTGTTGAAAGTGAATTGCATCCTCTCTAGTGAAAAAGCAAAGGGGCCTGCAACACTTCTTTCTATCAGAAATAACAGGTCATAGTCATGACACAGTTTATATGGATGTTCCTTGACAGTAGCAGAAGTTCCTCTGCTTTTTTATTAGTACCACAAATTAATTATGAAAAAAAGTTGCATGCAGTAGAGCCATAAAATGAAAATTCTAATTAAAATCATTAGTTTAATTCACAAAGTTTATTCTTAGAGTTGTGGTGAATGGTTCTGCAAGGAAGTAATTCTAACCAAAGCTGTATTTGTGCTGCATAGAAATGTACAGAATGGTATCAGCTTTTCAGATAAATTTTTTAAAAATCACTGCAGAAAGAAGGCGACAAGAAACATTTTGGAGAGAGTGCTCATGGAAAATAGGTGAAGCCTGAGCATGTTACAAATTAAGGTATGCAGATGTCACTGGAGATGCACATAAGTATGTCACTTCATATCTCTCTGTAGTTCAGTGTGATAGGGCAATGTTCTAAGACATCAGCTCCTACGTATGGATTGCAAATGTTACAGGTCTACATCCTTAGCTCATGTAAAAAATGTTGCCATATGAATAACGCACCAATTTAGAAATATTGCATATTTGATCTTGCATATCAGATGTTCGAAATGTTGCCCTCTGATTTTGCTTTTACTGTGCTAGTTATGCTCTCACGCAAGCACCATAGCTAGTAAACTCTGTTTGCTCATATAAAATTGCAGACACAATCTTACTGATGCAAAACATTGTCAGATTTGTAAAATGTATGACAAAACCCCAAAGGCTTTTTTCTTCATGTTGAAATCAAACTTCTTTAATATGTATTTGAAACTGTACAGGCTGTTCTAATTTATGCTCCCTAGATTGGTTTCTGTGCACTTTGGCTATTTTACCATAGTCATTAATCTAAAAACAATTATTTATTCTTCTGTGTACATTCAGCATGGCAGAATTTTGAATAGCTTTGCCAGCTCTCTTGTCATGTGTCCCTATTTGCACCAGGGCGAAATGAGTGCTAGGCATCACCATATCAGAATTGACACATTTCTCACCTACTCTGCATGGCAAAATTAAGTGTACAAGTCTGCACAATAGCAACTTTAAGTTTGTAACTTTTATTTTTCATGAATATTCGCAGTTTCTTAGGGACTATTTATTTTAGCGTGCCAAAAATGAGCTCAAAACTTTACAATATTTATGTTGGCAATGTTTTAGATTCTTATCATAAGAAGTGTATAATCTAAAAACATTTGAAAAATGCACAGTGAAGTTGAAAACATATCAATGTGGACTGTTTAACACTCTGGAATTTTAGAACCTTCACAATGTTAGTAGGAGGTCTCACTGGATAGTAAATCTCTGTACATGGCAGGTGATAGAGAATAAACAATCTTTATGATAGGGTCTGTACTACAGTGTTTTTCCCTAAAGTCCCCTCTGCATGTTTGCAGTGAGAGCTGGTAGATATAGCCACTAAAGAGAAGGTCTCTTTGCAAACCAATTATATGTTTGGTCACTCTGTAATATACGAAATAATTTTAAACAGAGGTAGCAATTGAGGTAGAAGTCAACATAGTGTCTCTAGGAGATTGTGACCAAAATGTTTTATTCAAGTTAAATTTTATTTATGGTTTGTCTAGGGTTATTTTTGTGTCACATGTTAAATGTGACAAAAAATTGATGGTTTTACGATAAGATATTTTTTCCTCACCAGGATCTACAGAACTGTTTTCAAGAGCAGATACGACTTCAGGGCCAGGTGAGGCTTCTGGAACATCGTGTGAAACAGCAGCAGTTAAAAGTTATACAGCTTTTAGAGAAGAAAGAGATTCAGTACAGTGACAGAGGAGATGAAAACAGTGTCATTGACTTGGGAGGAAAAAGACAGTATTCAGGTTAGAAATGAAGCTATTCTTTTCATTTCCATTCATTGTAATGACAGCCAGAAGCTTTAGCACAATTGGGCCCATTGACTTATTGTTTTAAAAGCTCATAGAAAATTGTCTGTTTAAAACAGTGTTCAGCTTTTACCTAGGCCTGCTTGCCACAGGGAAAATTGTTAATGTTACATGGTATAAATCAAATTAGGATTGAAACATTTTACTGATTTATTAATAGCACATAATTAAAAAAACAGTGAACAATAAATTTAGAATAAATATGAGCAATACAACAGATAAAAGCCAGTAATAGACATTTACAAAATGTTAATAAACAGTTAGAGATTTCTAAACACCCTTCTTCAACTAATCTCAAAAAGTTCTAACACACAGGGTCAGTTCACATTCACACATTCAGAGGGTTACATGGGTTATAAGCACACACCAACTCTTCCAATCTGTAAAGTCCCTGAGACATCCATATTTACATGCATAAGCCCGGCATAGTGATATTTGCATCTCACTAATAATATTCTGTACATTGCACCATTCTGGCTGAGTTAGGTTCAGCTCAGGACATCACAGCTTCTAAAATACTGGTTTTAAGTTGTTTTTGTAATCTCACCAGCATTCTGGTAGTGATCCGGTTCCTCTGCAGTGGAAGAAGGCCAAGTGTTTTAGCCTGTAGTAGATGGAGTGAGGCCCAAACTCTTAAAATAATAAAACACCATCCAAACCAATAGTTGGATTGAAAATACAATTTGGAGGTCTGATTCTTGGGTGATGTTCATTTCTAGTTGTCCAGTGCTAGAGAGTCTAAACTTCTATAATTGTTAATAGCCTTGTTTGAATATACTTTTAGTGTTTATGCTGCTAGAGGAAATCACAACATAAAACAAGGCATGAAATATAATAAAGCACCATTAAAATTGAAAGCAGTTGGAAGTCTGACTTTAAATTTTAGCTATATATTTATTTATGTATTCAGCACCCTGGAATACTTTTTTTTATTATTATGACTGACTCATTTGTAACTGGAAAAGTTTATTAAAACCACATTTAGCTGAAAAGTATTTGTCCTTTCTTAGCATATGCCTCAGTTTATTTTCTTAAAATGTGATTCTAAATAACAGATCTAAGTTGTTTGGGTTTCTGATGACTTCTTTTTCCATTATTTTTTTCAACTTTCCTATCTAACTTGGGGTTAGATAGTGAGAAAGAAATTCCACACTATATACACCTGCTAAAAATTAAAATATGATTAAGTGTTTTGCTAATCTACTAAGAAAATAACAAGGAAAGCTACTTTCTATAACCCAATCAAACACTCTCTAGAAAGACAACTTAGCTGTTATTTAAATCCTGTTTTCTATTAGAGTTTAATCAAATCCTGGCATAGCTATTTGTTTCCAATATAAAGTGTTTATTTTCTATGTCTAATCTTCACGGACACTTTCACTGAGAAGAAATAAAATAGTTCAGAAAGTTCCAGACTGGCCTGGAAGTTTAGGCAACACGTTCATAAATGTTTCAGGGAAAATCTTACAGTTAATCAGCCCTATCTTTGCCAGGAAAAACAGAAATTTTGAAAATTATACGTCTTTCCTGTATGACTGCTTGATGGTAGATTACATATAAACAAAGAACTCCTTTCATTTCTTAACTCTTAGAGGAAAAAATATAAGATTATATAATTACATTGCTGTTATTTTTTCATGAGCTCTGAATTTTGTCATTGCTGTAAATGCTGATTAGTCATTAGCACCAATGGAGAGCAGTCTGTAAATGGGATCAAACCGAAGTGGTATCAGTTTACACATATGCTGCACTTTTGGGGGATAGTCTTCTATATATTTTTGCACTTCTTTGGTACAAGGGACAAGAGTATCAGGTCCAACAATTGTTTCCCTTTTCAAACACTGGTGATTCCCTACTCTTGTTTTTGGCAGTTCTCCTGTGGACTTTCTGGACATAGAAGTAAATGTTTGTTTTTAAATGTTACTGTGTGAACAGTGTGTATGTACAGAAGTTATATGATTGTAACAGGATTCTAATGTGGATACACCATTGCAAATTAAAAGTGACACCACTTAAACCAGAGGAATCATTTTGCTAGTCAAAGGAAAACAAAAATGATAGGATTTTATGGTAGAAAAAAGATTAAAGAAAATAATTATAGCTCAATAAAGTTTTAAAGCAACACAAATACAAGTAAATGTGCAAAAGTCATGAAAATGTGTTTGCAAATGTATAAGGTATTATTATTGCAACCTGTATTATCCTGGTTCTTGTGACTCTTGTATGACATGACTTGATTTCTGTTACTAACTTTATTTCTGATTTTGCCAGTAAGTATAGGACTAAAAAACCTGTCCAATAAATGTTTTGTGAACAGATTGTGCAGAAATCTACAACGACGGCCATAAGCAAAGTGGATTTTATAAAATGAAACCTATCCAGAGCCCTGCTGAATTCCTTGCCTTCTGTGACATGTCTGAAGGGGGTGGTTGGACTGTTTTTCAGAGACGTTCTGATGGCAGCCAAAATTTTGATAGGTAGGTAATAGACTTAATTTGGAAACAAAGTGGAGAAACGTTAAAGCAGATGGAGCTAAGTTAAATCTTAACTTTAGAAGTATATAAGTTGTTACCTCAGATAAAAAGGTGGAGTAGCCTCCGGATGAGATACCACTTCTGGCTCTGTCTCTTCTGGGAGACGTTTTTTTCTGACAACTTGTGCATTTTACATGAGGACACTTCAGTGTCAAATGCATTAACAATTGTTGGAGCAAGAACTCATAATGACAAGTAAAGGACTACCTTGTCTTTTGCAAATAGTAAAAATCTAAAAAATAAAAGCAGTCTGCTTGACCCAAAATACCATCAGCAAGCAAGTATGAGAGCAACCCACCACAGAGTAATTTGTAGCTCATGGTAAAATGCCTCCAGGAAAGGTAAAGTGAGAAGTTGATCTGTGGACCATAACCTCCTTGCCTTTGCCAAGAGCCAAGCACTTTTGGGAAAATTCCAGAAGTGAAATCTTTGGTGCTCTAAGACTTGAACATAAAAGACCACAAATATTTACAGATATTAGAAACCACAGGAAGGTTTTAGAACCTCCACTTTTCTCAATTTACTTTTCACGTATCTGTATCCTTCTGTGGATTTGTGTCTTACCTGTCTTTATAATTTCTGCAACTAACTTTACAATACCCTTATGAACTAGAGAAACAATTGCCAGAGAGGATGAAAAACTGCAATCCAGCCAAGAAAACTTTGCTATTCTTATTTTATAAAATATGGTCAAGACAAACTACAGAAGAAATCTTTAGCAGTTTAAAACTGTTATCACCATACAACACCCATTCTTCTTCACCAAAGTACCAGCTATTTAAGTCTCAGAGGCTGCTTTCTCTTATGACTACCAGTCCACAGCCTAATACTTTCACCCATTGGTTGAAGTATGGTTACTTCTCATCAAGGAAATAGATCATATTTTTGTCCCTGTTAGAGCATGTCATGAAACCAAAACCACTGAGAAGGTGTTTCAAAGCCAGTGTAGACAGGGAAAAAGATTCAGTGTTTTCAGTATACACATCAATTCTTGAAACTCTGCACCATCATGAGTTAAAAAATTGTTAGAATCAGTCAATAAGTCAAAGCTGAAAACTGCTAGCTAATACCTCAGCTTACAAATTATATAGCCAGCTGCAGGAGTTTCCCAGCTTAATCAAATCACAGAAAATAAAGAAACAATGCTTGGGATATGCCTACTCATTATTCACTTAGATCCCCTGGATTTAACCAGAAAAAATGTTTTCACTTTTGTTAAATTTTGCTATACCAGAGACTGGACTGAGCTCATGTGTTTTCTTCTGGTCTTAAAATCTGTTAACATTGAATGTACCCCTTAGGACTACTCTTTGGATGGGGATTCAGTGACCAGTGTAGTGTGGGATTCAGCCCTTCACGTGTGAGAAATAGAAATGATTCTGTGAAGATCAACAGTGTAAATAAGATAACAAAGTCTAAAGTATTTATTATTGCTCCAATATATAATGAACCTAGAAAGAGTTCAGCAGAAGGCTACGAAGATGATCAAGGGCTGGAGCCCTATGAGGACAGGCTATCCCTGGAGAAGAGATGATTTCAGCAGAACCTAATAGTAGCTTGTATGTACCTACAAGGAGGTCACTAAGAAAACAGAGTAGTGTGAGAGCTCATTGAGTAAACAGACTCTTCACAGTGGTGTCTGGTGGGAGGATGATACACAAAGTACATAAGCTGAGACAAGAGGGCTTCAGACTGGATATAAGGAAAAACTTTTTCACCATGAGAACAGTCAGCAGGTTGCCCAAAGAGGACATGCAGTCTCCATCCTTGGAGGTTTTCAAGACCTGCCTGGACAAGCCCTGAGCAACCTTGTGTGGTCTCCTGACTGACCCTGCCTTGAGCAGGACATTGGACTAGATTAACTCCTGAGGTTCTTTACAATTTGAATTATTCTGTGATCTATGGTTGTGTGATAAAATAAACATCCAAGCAAACTTGCTTTTTTGATAAATTAGTAATTTTTTTTTTTTTAAGAGTCTGGACTGACTATGAAGAAGGCTTTGGAAATTTTGTTATGCCAAATGGTGAATATTGGCTTGGAAATAAAAATCTTCATTATTTGACTAATCAGGGTAAGATCTGTATTGTAACAATAGTCTTCTATTGTTTCTGTTTCTTTGTTCTTTCTGGGACATTTTTTACCTTTCTTTTTAGCATAAATCATGAGTTCTGCTGTTAGTCTGCATGAATTTCTCCAAGTTTCAGAACAAAACACATTTGAATATATGCTTTCTAAAAAAATGTTCAGAACTATCATTGGGCCAATGGCATGCAGAGAGCCCCTGAAAAGTGGCAACAGTAGCCTGTATAGGTATACCTTGAAAGAATTGTTGGCACCCATTTCATTCAGCATTCCAGAGTCAGGTAGTATGCTGTACCAATTCATTTAGCCAGGGCTTTACATGGCTGCATGGCTATTACATACATGAAGGTAAATCTAGGCCTGTCCTGTGGATTAGGCTAGTCTTGGAAAGCTATTTCCATCTTTCTGATAGTCATTCAATATAACTTCTGCTTTGCCATAGAAAGCTGCATATACAAAACTTACCCATTGACTTAGCCATCTAATTCATATGGAAATCAGTGCCACCAGGATGTGGTTCTAGTTTAACTGTTATCTTCAGAGTATAAAAATCTAAAATGCTTAGATGTACACTTATTGATTGATTCTCACTGTCTTTTCATTACCACCTCAAATGCCTAACTAAAATATAGAGCCTGTAAGGCCTTTTTTTAAAAAGATATTTTTTGTCTATGCTTGAAAATCTGCATTAGAATAATTATAAAATTTTCTAAGCTGAATCAGGTGAATAAAGACAAAGAATAGCAAGACATGCTTTAATATGCATAAAGAAGATAAAACCTCATACAATATGCTGTGATGATAGAGATAAGATTAATGAGAAAAACATTGTATTTTAATCTGCTATAATACTCTCTTCTGAAAAGTAGTGAGATAGGCTAGTTTAACGAAGATAATTTGTGTTGTTATTTCTTAAGGGAACTATACTTTAAGAATTGATCTAACTGATTTTGAAGGAGAGCGGCGTTTTGCACAATATGCAAGATTTGGAGTTGCAGGTGAAGAGGTAATAAAATATTAAATAATGACTAGAGATTTTAATGTAAATGTGGATTCCCTAATTTTCATAAAGGTTTGTGTAGAAATCATATTTATTTTCTTAATGAATGATTGGAATTTTCAAATGTGTAATAATAGTGGGTTACATTGATACATCAGTTTTACACTTTCAGTGAGATGTATGAATCATTTTGTTTAGCAGACATGGATAAAAGTGTTTTTCTATTTTTGTTGATATTACCAACAATAACGGTACATGAAGTTCTGATTTGTTAATATGTACTGCAAACTAACTCTAATGTTGTTTTATTATGTCATTTATCATAAGGTTATTACAAATTTTACCCTGGTAAGCATCTTTACACCATTTCATTATCTATTACACAATGTTTAAATGGTATGACATTTTTGAGCATAAAAACAGTAGCAAATGAAACAGATTAGATTCCTCTTTGTGGTTTCACTTTCTGACATGCTAAAGGTTAAAGACATATTGGAACTTCATGTTCCCTTTCTTCACATTTTTCATTAGCAATCTTATGAGATGAGCTGTGGTGAATACTCTGGTACCGCTGGTGATTCCCTTACTGGTGGATTTCATCCTGACGTGAAATGGTGGGCTGATCATCGAGGAATGAAATTCAGTACTCGAGACAGGGACAATGACAACTATGAAGGGAACTGTGCTGAAGAGGAAAAGTCTGGCTGGTGGTTTAACAGGTATTTTGACTTTAGATCAGTATTGTAAATTATTCTGCTTCATGCATATTCATACAGTAATAATATATGGTAGAAGATAGGACTGGCATTGTTTATTACTTTTACAATCTGCCCTTGACCCCTGCCAGAGATCTCAGTGCTGGTAATACTGAGACTCGCTTTAGAAGGGACAGCACCTACTGCACAGCCAAGTTGGTCTGTGATAATGGTATTTGCCATAGACTTTGGTTGTCTTTGTTATCAGACATTAAGGAGAAGATAATTCTGCCCCTTTTTAGGTAACCAGTTTTTATGCAAATAGATCATGTAGAGTTTGCAGATGTATCCCTGTTGTACTTCATTCTTGCATTTCTCCTGCATTTCACTAAACCAGATGTGGCAGTGCTGCAGAATAGCTGACAAGTTAAGCTACTGCCAGTTTATTAAGCTTCATTTTTTTCACCTCATATCACAGCATCTCACTCTTTTTATTCCTTCTATATCAAGATGGGAATGCATCCACCCAGTTTCTGTCAGTGAGTATGGCTGGACTGAGAGGAAGATTTTTTAAAATAGAGTTCAGTAAAAGAATTTTTAAATCCTACTTCTGTACAAAATACCAGTTAAAAAATAAAGGATAAAACTGATGGCCTTAGCACTGCCTGTACAGACAGCTGTGTTCTTTCCCTTAATTAATTAGATAAATACAGCCATGAAGAAAACTATGCAATTTAGCTGTGTAATAGAGAGGTTTAAAATACAACTCAGGGAAGCATACTACTCTCATTGTGATCTCAGTTCACTTGGCAAGAGCTGCCAGGCTGGATCAACTCCATTGTTTCTCTGTGTTGTGTCATACTTTGTTTCTGTTTTTTAACTCCTCATTTTTCAAATTCTATTTCCGTAAGTAGCCTGTGACCACCTTAGCTGATACAATGTAGCTATTAACTCAATGTTTCACAATTAATTACTTATTTTAATACATTTTAATTTATTTGCCTGGATAGTGGGTCAGCAGAATGTTTGAGACACATAGAAAAAAATCACATGTAGACATTTTTTTTGCAGTTCTAACGAAAAGTAAGATATAAAAGGGAAAGGCAACTGTGTTGGAGATCCTTTTCCTGTGAAATCAGAACTCTTGTGGACTTCAAGGAATATCTATACCTCAAGTAGCATAAACCTCTGATACCATGCCATGGAGTTCATTAAGAGTGAATCAGCAATCACTTTTAGTTAATTGTATATATTTTTTGCCTGTTAAAACTTTTTTTTTTTTGGTAGTATTTGATTGGTCTGGACAAAAGAATGATCCCTTTGCAAAAGTAGCTGTACAGCAGAACTTGACAGTTATTAATACCTTGTAGTTGGTGCTACATAACTACTAAAGATAGCTGTCCCCTACCAGACTAGTTCCTATTATGGCTGTGTAGCTCATTCTCTTAAAGTGACAGTCTATCTAGATAATGAAAATTAGTTACTAATAGTATTATTCCACTGCCTTGCTAGTGACTTTTTTATGTTAAGCCTAACATAAAACTGGATCCTGCAAAATACTAGAAAATGTCAGTGTCCTTAAATCCTACCCAAAAGAACAGTACTGGCAGAGAAAGGAAAGCACTCAGAACACGTATTTGTCATGCACAGATTAGCACACATAGAAGGAATTAGTGCTCTTGGCTGGTTTGTATAGGAGCTCCCAGCTATGAAGGAATTTTTTATATCCAGCTCTATGCTATCTGGAATAATGGAATACAGAAACACCCAGATAATATGAATACCAAGAGATGTGACACAAGTGAGACCACATGGAAGTAGCTCAGAACTAATTTAAAGCCACTGGTCTTGTTCCAGCTCAGCACTTGTTATCCTGGATGTCAGTTGAAAAATGGCCTCTCTACATTATTTTGTAAGCAAAACTCTAGAAGAGATTTTCAGCTTGGATGAAAATCCACAGAGCTGGGTTCACTCTGGTACTACACCCAGGTCATAAGCTTTCCTGCATCTAGTGTGTTGCAAAAGTCAGTAGGTTTATAACTAGTAAAAGAAGAGCTAACAAGTCTAGTTGGACATGAGCTTATTCTCTCCTCAGCACTCCCAGTTCTAGTTACACCATGCATGGATGATCACAGTGGATCTGTGAGGCATCAAGTTGGGGCCACAGATCTCCCTGACTCAGGCTTCCTGCCTCACCAGTCATCCTGGAGACAACATAGCTACATCCATCCGGGGCTGTACTGGACTCAGTAAGTCCAGGCACAATTCAAACAGTTCTTCAGGGAACCAATTATATCTCTCTGCATCTGTTACACAGTTAATATATAATTCAGATAAAATGTCCACAGATAATTCAGAGTTGACTGTACTTTTGAAACTATTGCAGTGCAGTTTTTTACTTTAAAAATTAGCCTATCAGAAAGACAGCAGGAACGCAGACTAACTTTAAGGTGCTTATTAACTTGTGAATAATGAATGTTGCTTCAGAATATTGTATCTATAATCACACACCAGTTGTTTCTTTAGTACGTCCAGTTACTTCAGACAGCATCCAGTCAGTTACAGAGTACTATATATTTTTGTTATTAGTGCCTCAGGCACCAGTTAAGAGTTGTTACTGGCTCATGTTGCTGTTGACAAAATCATGTTTTGCCTGCTTCCATCAAAGGAAGTAAAAGACAGGATTCAGTTGATCTAATTATCTCTTAGCAACTATGATTCTTCTAATGAAATCTGTGTTTTGATTCAAAGTGGACAGAGTGCCTGCTCAATACAGAATTTGTATGACTAGAAAGATTATGTCAGCTCTGATACAAGTTTGTCATTCTCAACAACAGTCACTTTTGATATGTGCAATTAATAAGCTTTCAACCAACACATTATCAAAATTGAGCTTAAAAATCGTAAGCAATAAATAAGCATATATATATATATATATATATATATATATATATATATGT